CCAGGGCCTTAGACATGCAAGGCAAGTGCTCTACCACTGAGCCACCTTCTCAGCCCACCCTCAATGAGATTCTTGTCTGGACTAAACTACAAAAAGAGCTGGAAGTAGAGTTGTGGTTCACATGGTAGAGAGCAAGCCTTGAGTACAAAGAAAGTCAGGGACAGAGCTCAAGCCCTGAGGTCAAGCTCCAGTTCTTACACACACACACACACACACACACACACACACACACACACACACACACACACTGTGTGTGTATATATATATATATATATATATTCATAGGTAGTTGTTTCAATAATCTATTTTAATATATTCATGATTTTTCCTTAAAACTTTTATGTGTTAGTCTTCATAGATGATTCTTTTTTTTGAGTTAGCATTAAAATACAATAAAATAGTAACACTGTAATAAAAGTTTGCTTGCTTCACCAACCACAGGCTTTCCAGAGCTGTGTTTTCCAAATCCATCTCTAATACCACATATTGATTATAGACTAACTTATATTATTGCTAGGAGTTGATGAATATTAAAATAACTATCAATCATGGTCAACTTACAAGCCTCTATAATTACTTCTTAAAGAATTAGTTAATTGACTTGTCTTGCTCAAGCAGTTCACATAATTGCTCATGGAGATATGTTATCTTAATCCATGTATTTCTTGTCTAAATTACCATAGCTCCTGAAATTGCATTAACCATTTAACTACTAATTTTTGTAAATGACTATTGATTTCTTCCAGTAACTAATTTACAGAGATAGTCCTGATGTATTCTGGTTCTGATCCTCACAGCCAATCCACTAAATCTACTATCATACTTGACAGAATAAATGCTCATTCTCTGGAAGAAACAGGCTTAGAAGATGGTTGTTTTTTTTTTTTTTTTTTTTAACACTTAGCATCCCATTTTGTGATGGAAAGGGACCAAAATTGTTCGGGGAAGAAATGAAGCAAAATAGACAAGGGTACAAAGGCGATATTAATGAGTAATTCTGTGTGAAAATAGCAGTCAATGCTTTGCCTCCATGGAATGCTCAAGATCACAAGAAACAGATGTACATGTCTTTTGCATCGATCAACTCCAGGTTTTGTTGATAACAAACTCACACCAAACACATTTGGGCAAGAGTAAAGTGACTCTCAACTCACTGTCTTTATGGTTGCCTTTTAACGTCAAAACGGGAATTTCGCAAAATGATAAATGTTTCCGACCGATATGACCACTTTTCCAGGAAAAGTGTAAACCGGATTCCCCACCTCACCCGGAAAGGACAAGGCTGCTTTGCCTCACCACTTGCTTGTCAAGGGGCGTTCACCTTCCCTTCTCTGTTCTCCCTACTTCTGGTAAATTGTTTTTAAAAAGAAACCTTGCCATTCTTCCACTTTGTGAGTTGTATATTATGAATCTCCTCAGGGTCTTTTTTTGTCATAGATTTCATGTGGCAATTGGGGATTGACCCAAAGCTTTCTCCTTCCCCTCAGGGATCATCTTTTCTCAGGGCAGGCTGTCACATTGTACTTCCTTTCTCAGGTGATGCTGTGAGATTGTTCTTCCTCACTGTTGACCTCTCCAGACCTATTCCTAAGCCAGATTCCTCAGAGCAACCAATTCAGATTTCAACTGTATCCATTCATACTTGTCATATGTTCCCTGTGACACATTGCCATTCATTTGGCCATGACAGTGTTAGAAAACTATGTCTTCATCTTGTTTTTTCTTTTTGTCGCTCATGGGGCTTGAATTCCGGGCCTGGGCGCTATCCCTGCACTCTTCAGCTCAAGGCAGGCACTCTACCACTTGAGCCACAGCGCCACTTCTAGTTTTCTGGTGGTGTATTGGAGATGAGTTTCATAGGCTTTCCTGCTGGGGCTGGCTTTGAACAGCAATCCTCAGATCTCAGCCTCCTGAGTAGCTAAGATTACAAGCATGAGCCACTGGCACCCAGCCTTGTCTTCATCTTTATTTATATGCATCATATGCATCATCATATTCATATGCATGTGCAAAGTCCTGGGCTCAATTCCAAGAATAAAAATAAAAAATATTATGATGATAATGAAATATTGTTCTCTGGTTACAATGTGTCAACAGAGATTTATAATGTACATCATAATGTACAACATTTTCTAGAGCTAAATCTTCTCACATTTATTATGAATAACACTTTGTAGCTACTCCAGATGGTATATAATATCTAATAAGTGTAGGCTACTAAAGAAATAGTGAGTCAGATGCTGGTGGCTCTTGCCTGTAATCCTAGCTACTCAGGGAGGCTGAGATCTGAAGAGTGGGATTCAAAGCCAGCCCAAGCAGGAAAGTCTGTGAGACTCATATCCAGTTAACCACCAGAAAACAGGAAGTGGTGCTGTGCTTCAAAGTGGTAGAGTGCTAGCTTTGAGCAAAAGAAGTCAAGGAGAGTGCCCAGTCCCTGAGTTCAAACCCCATGACTGACAAAAAAAAAGAAGGAAGGAAGGAAAGAAGGAAGGAAGGAAGAAGGAAGAAAAGAAGGAGGGAGGGAGGGAGGGAGGGAGGAGGGAAGGAAGGATATGTATATTTAGAATCTTTGAACAAAATTATTCCATCTCACCATCCCAGAGAAACATTGACTACTACAAACATATCAAGATGTTACACCTAATTGTATCTCACCATAAAGAGTGGTGGTGTATTTACTTTAAAATCTGACTTAGGTAAAAGTAAAGGGCCAATCTTAGAACAAATTATCTAGCTACTAGTAGCATGAGTAGATAAGAGTTCATCATCCCTAGAGGAGTCAGGGTATTTTCTGATGACGATTTGGATAGAAGAAACCATGAAACACTTACCTTGAGCCCACATTGGCTACAAACAACAATTATGAAACAAAGTGAAAATGATAAATATTTGAGAGAGGAGGACAGGAATAAAGGGCAGGTTTGCTTGCAAAAGTAGAATGTATAGAATGGATATCAAGTTGATGCCTAATCTTTAATATACAGGAAAATGTAGAATCGATTTTATTTTTTTCTTTTACTTTGCTGATTTAGATGAGCCTTATTGAAGTTACAATACCCTTCTGTTTTCCTTTCCTCTATCCTCCAGCTTAAAATTTCTTTGAGGGTTACTTAAAATTACTTTCTTACTTTAAATATCATCTCATCTCTGTGGTAAAGGTATCTTGGCTAGTGCTGTCATTTCTATATAATTCCAACTTTTGAACTTTCTGAATATCTCTCTTACAGTTTTCTTTTTTCCTTCAGAATTCTTTCTTTCCTTTCTTTTCTTCAAAGGATGCACAATAACTACCCCAAATAGAATGCATATAATTAGTTCTGTGTCCTGAAGCAAATCACATAAATATTTCCTCACTCAGAGAACAGGATGGGAGACCTACATACAACAGAATTTGTTTTAAAAATGTATATCATGTTTTTAAAGACCAAGTCAAATTATTCTTCTAAGATAAACATGAGGAAAATTAAATTTTATATATGGATGCAATGTGTACAAATTAGTCATGACTCATGCCACATATTATCATTTTCTTTATAACCTATTTTATAGAATAATGAGGATTTAGCCAAGGACTTCGAACATGCTAGGAATGTGCTCTAGTATTGAGCTACATCCTCAGACCTTAGAGCTTTTAAAGAGAGACAATAAACTTTAAAAAAAATTACTGTTATTGTAATACAGCAGAGGGGCACATCAGTTGCACTGGACATAGATGAAAATGAACTAAGCAACCTAAAGACAGCGATGGGAAGGGAGGAATGAGTAGGAAGAAGGGAACAGCTTACATTAAGCAAAAGGAAAGAAATGTACATATCACCTGATGTGGAAGAAATAATTGTATTGTCAAAGCTCATAGCTCAAACTTTATAGACCATGATAATGACAATGTGCATTGTGAAGGTTAAACTGTGTTAGTGACTTTAACTAAGTATCATTATTCCACAATACTGTGAAATATGTGAAATTTATGTAATCCCCTAATCTCAATTAAAAAAAGAAAAGCTAGAGAAGGGGTTGGTTAGGAGCGATGGGTGACAATGTTGTCAGACACCTTGTGTTCATACACTGTTTTGTAAAATGGGAACTTCTTTGTACAACCACTTAAAGATAACAAAAAAATTAAAAATTACTGTTATTGTAAAAGTGATGTACAGAGGAACCTTAAGGGGATGTCAGAAAATAAACTTTTATTTTCAAAATACCTACTATGCAACTGAAGAGACAGAATATTGATATTACATATATAACATTTTGATCTATAGTTAAGGATACCACTTTGTAAATTTTACACACTGATACAATTCACAGATATATGGACAAAAATTACCATAGCCTTAGTACTGTTTATGATCAAATAACCAGTATAACGTGTTTTTGTGACTGAAAATAATATTTGAAAAGATAGGCTGAGTGGCAGATGTGATTTGTTTACATACATCCAGAAGACTAGAACAGGAATTCGAGTACCCATATCTACTACAAATGAAAAATTAAAAACACAAGCCAAACAACAATTACAAACAGATTCCTCTAAAAATTCTACTTTGTCATATTACAATTTTGAAATCATCCTTTCCAATTTAATCAATCAAGCTGTTGAAACAGCAATAACTTTAAAAATTGCCTCAGCAATGGAAGAAATAAAGGAAATGATCAAAAATACTCAACCCCTTGACATTTCTGTTGCATACATAAGAAAAAATAATAGGCAGTGTTATTGTTATACAGGAAAAAATTACCAGTAAATTATCTCTATCTTCTATAGGGAATAAAAAGCAGGTAGAAGTTACCTGGGAACCCATGTTCAATTTCGATATCAAAAGAAGCCTACAAAATTACAAGATAGTTTGAGAAAAGAAGAAACCTTGTATTATAAATGTTTCCCAGGGATAGGAAGAAAGATGAAGAGAAGAACAAAAGCAGAAAAATAATGAGCACAGGCAGAAAGAGAGATGAAGGCAGAACATTAGTGAAAGGAATAAGGCAGCCCAACGGTTCTCTTACTCTGTGATTCTCTTTAAGGTTCTCTTCAGAGCAAGTTTGACATCCTTGTTCCTAAGGCTATAAATGAGGGGATTTATCATGGGTACCACAAGAGTATAAAATACTGAGAAAAACTTGCCCTGGCCCACAGATTCATTCGATTTTGGTTTGACGTAAGCAAGTATCCCAAAGCCATAAAATAAGCCAACAGTGATTATGTGAGAACCACAAGTACTCATGGCTTTGGACCAGCCCTTACCTGATGACATATGAATGACATTAACAAGAATAAAGCCATATGAAATTAAGATAATGAGGCTGCAAAGCATAATAGCTGTACCTATCACGACAGAGCTTACAAGCTCATTGGCAAAGGTGCTGCTGCAGGAGAGCCGGAGGAGAGGGAAGATGTCACACATGTAGTGATTGATGACGTTGAAATCACAAAAGTTGAGCCTGATCATACACCCTGTGTGGAGCATGGCTGAAGCAAACCCCATGAAGTATGTGCCAAATATCAGCAGAGAACAGGTCCTAGGGGACATGATGACCGTGTACTGCAGAGGCTGACAGATGGCCATGTAACGATCATAAGCCATGGCTGTCAGCACGTAGGACTCAGAGTTGACAAAAAAGCAGAAGAAAAATAGCTGAGTTATGCATCCAGCATAGGAGATGATGTTCCTCTCCGACACAAAGCCAACCAGCATTTTAGGAGTAAACACAAGGGAATAGCAGAAATCAATGAATGACAGATTAAAGAGAAAGAAGTACATGGGGGTGTGAAGGTGTGAGTTAATGCAAATTAGGTTCATTAAGCTCAAATTTCCCACTACAGTGATTATATGGTTTACTAGAAACAGGACAAAGAGGGGCATTTGAAGCTCAGGTTGGTCTGTCAATCCCATAAGAACAAACTCTGTCACTGAAGAGTCATTTTCCATAGCCATCTTCTTCACAGGGAGATGCCTCACAGGCGTACAGATTCAGGTGTCCAGACTCAGGATCGTCCAAAGATAGACAGCAAGACATCTAAAGGATCAGACTTTCTGTACTGATTGCTGAAAAAGCTCCATTTCCTTCCTCTCCCACCCACTGATGTGTGTCTCTGGTCATTAGATGGAGATCGGACCTTTGATATGTTTAGATATTATTTCCTTCCTTTGCTTCACTCTGCAGTGATTACAGCTGAAAAGAGCAATAAATAATGGCATTCTCTTTGAACTCCAAATTTATATATAACTTTGAGTTGATAGGAAATTATTGAGACAAAGCTGATTCAAATGTTCACCATTATTTTCTTGGTGGATGGACTGCAAATGACTTTCCTTCCTGCTTTGCATTGGCATCTGAGTTCCAGGTGATTGTAGCAGGTGACAGTCATCTGCTAGAAGTGAGCCCTCAGTAATGTGCCATAATTTCCACTTAATGATTTCTTCAGAACTTTTTTCAGAGTACGAAGAAAAATAGCACGAAGAAGAAGAAGAAAACATATATGAGTCTCTAGACTATTACCTCACTTATATGAGAGTTTCTTTTATGCCTCATACTTCTGGGCTAATTTATTATGAGAAGCACAAAAAAAATATTCTCTTTGATGATTTCCTCTGAGGTTACTGAGCCCCTTGAGTTTAGAAATTACTGACTGCATGTTTACGTTCTATGCCATCGACTTAACATTGGACCATTGGAGAATTGAAGTTGTCTACTCAATTTATAGTTTCTCACAGGGGATGTATTGTTACCAAGACAGGTAGCTGTGGTTCCAGTCACTCTACTCTTCATGCCTTAGCTCTACAAAGGGGAAGTCCATGAACACAATCAGTTGCCCTTTCTAGTAAATTCCTTCAGTAAGTTTCTGGGATTGCATTGTGAAATATTTTATCATGGTTTAACACTGAGAAAATGATGTTATAACAAACAAATTGAAAGAATAGGAAGAGACCCTCAAGTCATTCTGAGTTTAAATCCAGACTTTTGGACTTCCTGACTATATAACTCTTCAGAAGAAATGTGACTTTTCTAACTATTATTTATTTATGTTTTTATGAACATGTAAGTGTGTGTGATCAGTAAATTGAGAGCCATGAAATTCTGACAGTTGTGATAAAAAATTAATGAACCATAAATTACTCATAAAATATTAGAACTGAGCTGCACTGAACATAGATGACAGGTGTTAATAACTTGCACATCTCACCTTGTTCTACACAGCATTTCTCAACCTTGGCACTACTGGCATATGGATGAGTTTTACTGTGTATAGTCTGTTTAGAATAGAATGCACAGTACCCCTAGACTCTACTCATCAGGTAATGATACTATCCTGTTACTCTCCCCCCCACAAAAAACATCCCTGCTAGTTTGGACCATCATACGTTTTTTTTTCCAGATATCATTGTAGATTTTGGTGTGATCCTGGGGTGATATGCCAACGTATGATGGTTAGCATGCTGCGTTCTTGCATCTAAAGGTCAGTGGTAGTTCTCTCCTTAAATCCCAAAGGCAGGTCATAGGAGCTAAGAATTATTTATGGAAGGTCGTAGAAACTAGAAGCACTCTCCCCTAAACCAGTCATGAAACCTATTGATTTTGTAAACTTCTTTCCACTTCTCTGCATAAGCTATGCACATAACGGAATCTCTGATCTTCCCTGTATGACAGTGGACCCTAAGATCAACTAAGATCCTAATATCTTGATCTCTACTAAGGAGAAGCCCTTTGATACATTTTTCCTTTCAGTCTAGTATATTATATGACATCTTCATGTCCAATATTATTTCTACATTTATTCTTCATTAAAACTTACCATAAAATAGCTCTACCTTGGTTTTTGTTTTTGTCTTCCTCCTGTGTTATGAAAATGTTTTGAATAACTGCATCTCTTAATTTTTTACTCTTACTAATCTGCATTTTGTTATAAGAGTCTTAGCAAGGAATCTTAGGAGGATAAAGAGTAATAGTACACCTTCCCTACCTTTCAGTGGAAAAATCATTTGTGTTTGTCAGTCTCTGGTTTCTGGACTACATGGACTTCTGGTACATCAGCCTCATAGATCGCTCCACGCCATACGTATTTTGTGTTCAAAGCTTAATGGACATAAGGGAAGTTCAGCTTTTCTTCTGATTCCCTGTGGCTGTCTTCTCATCTCATTTCCTTCGGCTTTTATCACCACCCAGACAACTAATGCACCATTGTCACCTCCTCCTCTCTCACTCCCTCACTCCAAGTCCCAGCTGATATGTCTCCTTTGTTGTCTAGGAGTTCTAAAATGACAGACAAGGCTTCTAACAAATGGTCGTAAAATGACCTTAATGATACAGTATTCAAAACAGATGACTTTTGTGATAAATATATACAAATGCATAACATGGAACTGGAGATTCAGAATCAGTTTGTTTAAGCAGCCACTCGGAGTTTTTAATAAGCAGAAAAGTAGTTCAAGTGGAAAGGGAAAATATCTTAAGTAATTTATGCAGGAAATACTGTGTAACCAGAAAGAAAGAAATACATCTTGACCTGTGTCTCACAACATGCAACAATATTTCTATAAAAGGGAATAAAACCATACACAGAAAGCTTAAATAAACTATATCTTCTAGAAGCAGATAGCATAAAGCATGTATAGGTTTAGATTTCATAGAGATATTCTAGAAAGCACTAAACTGAAAAGAATAAAAAGAATTTTAATTTCATCAACAGGAAAACGTTGTTATCCAGAAAGTATTAGTAGGCAATTTCAGTCTGAAATTTGTAATATGTATACTAGATAAATTGTTGTTCAGAATACAACTAAATGATGAAAATATGTTTCTATAATCAAAGATATAGTATAATAAATGTGAAGATGATTTAAAGAACATTTTAAATAAAGGCTTGCAAAAGACAGTACACACACGCAAACTCTCCAAACTTGTTTAACTCTGCAGATTTAATATCCAGAGAGCCTGCTCCTATATTTTTTGTGGCAGTCCTGGGGCTTGAACTTGGGGCCTGGGCTCTGTCCCTGAGCATTTTTACTAAAAGCTAGTATTTTGCCATTTGAACCACTGTTCCATTTCCAGATTTTGATGGCTAATTGTAGATAAGAGTCTCAGACTTCCCTGCCCGGCTGGCTTTGAACCATGATACTCAGATCTCAGCTTCTTGAATAGCGAGGATTACAAGTGTGAGGCACTTCTGTCATTTTAAACTCTTTGCTTCTCTTCCTCTATCTCTTCCTCATTTTCCTCCTTCTCTATTCCTTTTCTCTTTTTAAATTTTCTGAACTTCAAAAGGTTGTACAGGGGTGAAAATTTAACATTTCAAGCTATGTGTGGCATGCTTCTGGATTGAGTGACTCGATCAAAGTCACTCCATCCATCATTCCCTGACACCCAACCTGTCTCCCCTCCCCCCACCGCCCCCAGACTCATTTCACATTTTCTGTTTCCATTATCACTTACGTATATTGAGTAGTCTTGTTGTGTTTGTCTCCTGTTCCCTTTGCCATTCATCCATCCCTGCCACTAGACCTTACTTCCTTACAATTTAGTCTCAACTTCCTGATATTCATCTTGTTAAACTATTAATTGTTCCCAAGATTTTCTCGATGGAGTTCATGCCTTAAGTCAAATAAATCTTGCTGAGTCATGAAGGAGATCACCTGCTACTATAGTCTTGAGATTCGACATTCCTGGTTGGATTCCAAGTTGAGAAGAACTTTCTGTCTCAAAGGTCTAATTTAGGTCAATGGCACAGGATGTAAACATCGTCTCAGTAATTTCTACCCACAAGGGGCTCAGCCAGTCTCAGAGGAAATTATGAAGGAGACAATATTTTTGCTTCCACCCAATTGTCTCAGAAGTGATGAGCATGATATAGATTCTCTTTTGAGAGAGAGGTGTTGGAGGGATACATAAGATTGTTTTTTCCTTCTTGAAAGTGAAGACAATATTGTGGAGAAATTCTCAAATAGAAATCATGTCATATTCCTCAGGCCAGTCTTCTAGCAAACCAGAGATAGTTCTTCACTGATGGCTGTTATGGCCTTCAGAATCTGCCTTAATGATTCTTCCTTGTTCAGGAATCTGCCAACACTCAAGACAGGAAGGAGAAAGGGCTGTTAAAGTCTAGCAAGAAAGAGAAAACTAAAAGAAACAAAGGTGAGAATTGAATCAAGGCTTTACAATTCATAGGCTTGAAGTATTCATTTTTAAGTTCTATCCTTCATGAAGACAGAAGTGAGGAGAGAAAATGATGTTTAGAGACATTCGAATTCATCTCAGCATTTGATTAGCAGAGCTATTCATCTTGGGTGGGAGAAGGAGGTAAGGAAGATCACTCAAGAATCAACCAGTGAAGCGGCCTAAGACAGTCTTGGTTTTAGAAATCAGCAGCTCCTCTTCACCCTCTGGGATCTCCAAGTGAGGGTCCCTTGTTCATGCCACCTTTACCTGTTTCGACAGAACCTATTCATGAAGCAAATGGCTAAGATAAATGCCTCTTCAGTGACAGAGTTCATCCTTATGGGATTGACGAACCAATCTGAGCTCCAGCTGCCTCTCTTTTTCCTATTCTTGGTCAACTATATTATCACTGTGGTGGGAAACTTGAGCCTAATAAATCTAATCTGCTTAGACTCACACCTTCACACTCCTATGTACTTCTTTCTCTTTAATCTGTCCTTCATTGACTTCTGCTATTCATTTGTTTTTACCCCCAAAATGCTGGTGAACTTTGTGTCAGAAAGGAACATCATCTCCTATGCTGGATGTATGACGCAGATATTTTTCTTCTGCTTTCTTGTCAATTCTGAATGTTACGTGCTGACAGCCATGGCCTATGATCGGTATGTGGCCATCTGCCAGCCCCTAATGTACTTGGTCATCATGTCTCCTAAGACTTGTTCTCTTCTAATGTGTGGCTCATACTTGATGGGGTTGGTTTTTGCTGTGGTCCACCTAGGGTGTGTGATTGGCCTTATCTTCTGTGATTCCAACATCATCAATCACTACATGTGTGACACCTTCCCCCTCCTCCAGCTCTCCTGCAGCAGCACCTATGCTAGTGAGCTTGTGAGTTCTCTCGCTGTCACTATAGTTATCTTTATATCCAGCTTCATTATGTTAATCTCATATGGTTTGATTCTTTCCAATGTCTTTCATATGTCTTCAGGGAAGGGTTGGTCCAAAGCCTTGAGCACTTGCGGTTCTCATATAATCACTGTTGGCCTCTTCTATGGTTGTGGGATTCTTGCTCATATCAAGCCATCGTCTCCCGAGGCTGTGGACCAGGGGAAGTTTTTCTCAGCAGTTTATACTCTTGGAGTGCCCATGCTGAATCCCCTCATTTACAGCCTCAGAAACAAAGATGTCAAACTTGCTCTGCAGAGAACACTGAAGAGAATCACAAAGTGAGTGAATAGTGGAGCTGACTTTGTTCCTTTACCTCTGCTATAATCTATTTCCTCCTCTTCTTCATTACCTTATATTTTTCTCTTGTGTCTTCTTCAATTTCTTACTTTCTTTCTTTCTTTTTTGTTGGTCCTGGGGCCTGAACTCTGGGCCTGGGCACTGTCCCTCAGCTCTTCAGCTCAAGGCTAACACTCTACCACTTGAGCCACAGCACCACTTCCAGCTTTTTCTGCTTATGTGGTGCTGAGGAATCGAACCCAGGGCCTCGTGCATGCAGGGCAAGCACTCTACCACTGAGCCACCTTCCCAGCCTTCTTCATTTTCTTGTTAAGATTAGGGATCACAAAAAGATTAGGGATCCATTAATTCTTTTTTTTTAGTAAGCATACATACCTACAACCAGTAAGCATACATATATACAACCAAAGTTGGTGTGGATCTCCATAGACATGATTTCATAAGGTATTGAGTCCCTCTACTTCTGATCTATTACAATATTGACCATTTCCTATCATCGGAGTGATTTTCTGACACCAAACTTCAGGAAACTTGAAAACTGCTTTAGATCATACATTTATCAAGCTCTGTATCAGTCTTTTTCTTCATTTTCTTTTCACATTTGGTGCAAGATTTCTCCTGAAATATCTTTTTCACTCTTTTTTTGAAATGTATTGTAAAGTACTTTTTTATTAATTTTTTTATTGTGAAAATACTGTACAGAGGGGTTACAATTACATGAGCAAGGCAATGAGTACATTTCTTATCAAGCATTGTAGCCTCCTCCTTTGTTTCCCCTTACCATGCCTGTCCTCCCATCTTCTCCCCTCCCCCACCGAACCCCCCCTACCGCGAAGTTGTAAAGTTCGTTTTTCAGCATAATGTCTTGTACATCTCATTGTTGCAATGGGTCCGCCTGTATCCCTATTTAAACAATTTGTTTTTCCCTTCCCCTCCCCAAATTACACCAACATCAAATACAGTGAAAACAGGAGTTTTACTGTGGGGGAGGGACATACAAAGCAACAAAGAAATCATCTTATAAATATGTTAGAAACAATAGCAAGAAAGAAAAAAACATTTGAGTCATTATCTTGGGGTTCATTTCGCCTAACATCAACTTATCTGACCATTTCTGCTTGTCTCAGACATATACCCATTATTGCAAATAAGGGAAACCATGGGACCTATGTTTCTTTGGGCCTGTCTTACTTCACTTAATATAATTTTTTTCAAGCCTTTCCATTTCCTAACAAATGGGGCAATGTCATTCTTTCTGATGGAGGCATAGAATTCCATTGTGTATATATACCACATTTGCTTGATCCATTCATCTACCGAGGGGCATCTGGGTTGGTTCCATATCTTAGTTATAGTAAATAATGCTGCAATAAACATAGTTGTGCTGGTAGCTTTAGTATGGTCTTTTTATGATCATTCGGGTAAATGTAGTACGGAGGTTCCTCCAAAGACTCCACTTAGAGCTCCCCTATGACCCAGCGATCCCCCTTTTGTGCAGTACTTTTCTTGGACTTGGTCCTCCCTTGGTTCTCTGGTGCCTCCAATCCGGTTTTTGTTCTCTTTACCATGCACATGCACTCACCTAATGTTTTTTTTCTCCCTACACATCATACTACCCCATCATTTCTGTATCTTACCCCTGCATGGAAATCTAAGGAGTTGGATACTTTCTAACAATGTCATTTCCTTTTTTGTTTTCTAAGCCAATTTCCTATTGTTTCTACCTTCAGGGGGGTTAAAATTTATAACCATGTTTAACTTGATATTGGAGTATAAAAATTGTGAACATTTTAAGGATGTTTAATTTTCCACAATGATTGGAGTCTTTTTAAAAACCTTTATTCTAGATTCATTGCTCCTTCCTCCAATTATACTGTGTACTTCATTGTATTGTTTTGAGTCTATGGACATTTGAAATGGGATTAGGACTGATCCTTCTCCTGGTTTCCTGAAGCCCATTAGCAATGAAGACAGATTGTTTAAAGGCTATTTTGATATCAATAAAACTGCACTCAGTACTGTGTTCTCCCTTATCTATGAATTATTTCTATAAATATTTTTTAAGTGGTTCAAGGATATTCCTGGCTATAGAACAGAATATCACATGTATTGTTAGGACTTTATTTTTTTTCTTTATTCATGACATGAATTCCCAAGGAAAGATCTATTTATTCTAATAAGCCTGCAACATGGGAGTATAGGTCATTGGCAGAGTGTACCTGCGCAAGCAGCTGGTCCCAGTCTTTTGCTGCACACACCTCCGTAAACTCTAGAAGACTGAAGCCACGTTCCTCCATGCCAGTGGCTAAGACTTCCCTCTCTTCCCTCCTGGATCATCAGAATATCTTGGTGGTGCAAACTTTGTCTTTCATTGGCATAAGTGGCCTCCATGACTGGCGCCAGCCCAGTGCTACAAGTTGTGCCAACACAGTCCTTCATTAGCCCGAGTGGCCTTCTGTGACTGGAGCACACAGCCTTGTCACGCCCTCTTTCTGGATGTGTAAGTAGGTTTTTCAGCTCATTTGGGAGCAGCCAAAAGGCTGTTTCAGGACACCCCAATGACAGACTCAGTAATGACTTCTTTCAAGTAGTTTTCTTGCCCACTTCTTAGTTTATTTTTTTTTGTTGTTTTTATTTTTTGGTAGTCCTTAGGTTTGTACTAAGCTTGGGAGCCACTGCCACCAGAGCCACCTCTCTGCCCTGTTTGGCTTCAAAATGTTTTTTTATATATGGTATCCCTTTTTGCACACGGCTCACTTGGGATCAAATCTCCCTGCTGATATCCCCCGCCTCTGCATAGCCAGGATGGCAGATGTCACCACAACACCCCGATTGTTGTGTTGCAATAGTCTGCTACCTTTCTGTTTGATTGTTCTCAAACTACAATTGTCCAGATCTACACTTTCCAGATGGCTGAGATTATACAAATGAGCCACCATCTCTGGCCTTCTTAAGTACTTTGGCTTTTGTTATTGGTAGAGTGTCTGAGCTAGTACCAAGAAGAAAAGAGCAAGAAGTGGCACAGCTGATAATATCAGAGGTAAGTTTGCAACTGACAGTAGCTCATGGTGGGGGGGCGGGGGGCAGCCAAACAGTCTAGGCCAGCATGGCAAGAGACTGACAGCAAGGCTTGGAAGAGCTGTCGCTCTTCCTTCTGGGTATCCTCCCCTTGGAGGATAGGAATGCAATGCTTGACACCAGCTCCTTACTTGACCTAGCTCCTGACACGGAGGCTGTTGGAGTCAGATGTTCATGGTTGGACCTCAACCTGGGACTGTGTGCTACTGTAATCTTGATCTCAAGGGCAATGCTGACAGGGGCTCAGTATCCAAAACTGAAAGCTGGCACTGCCAGCAGAGAGCGCCACTGTCTTCTGCTGCTAAGTATTGCAAAATCCACCAAGGTGTGGTGGAAACATTGCAAATGTTCTTTTCACCTACTCACAGTTTCTACTGAGGTAGGCAGCAGAAGCAGAAGCAGAAGGTCCCCAGCTATCTGGTGTGAGACAGAAGCATAGAATGTGCAGATAAACCAGAGATTGTCACGCAGGAATGATTTTGACACTGCAGGAGTGGAAATGTGTGATTCTTTTTCTGGCTTTCATAAGGGTCATGCCCAACACTTTTGTTGTTGTTTGTTTGAGGCTTCATCGTTTTCTGTAGTTTGTAGAGGTTGTACACTAGTAACCTCGGTTTCCACCTCCTGAGTGCTCAGTTTACAGGCATTTGCCATCGCTCCTTTCTCAACATTCTTCTAGCATAATATAGATTAAGTGAATGGTGGTAGAGTGTTTTTGCCTATCATGTGTGAGGCCCTTGGTTCCATCTTGAGTACCAAAATAGTCATAATAACAAGATATAGATCAGATTTATTTTAAATGTATAATACAAGAGCATGTAGAAATGGAAATGCAAAGACATGGAGAAGTTCTTCTTTTCTGGTTAGGTTTGATGAAATTAGAGAGACACATAGAAATTATTTGAGGGGTCGGGGGGGGGAAGATGGGAAGGGATGGGAAGGGGAAACAAAGGAGGAGGCTACAATGCTTGATAAGAAATGTACTCATTATCTTGCCATGTAATTGTAACCCCTCTGTACAGTATTTTCACAATAAAAAAAGAAATGATGTGAAAAATAAGATCTGATGTAATGTAGTAAGTGAATGAGAAACCCAGCAAGGTCAGTCTTCTCTGATTTTTCTTGGCCTCTCTGTGTTGCTTTTCTAGGTAGGCCCAGGATCTCTTCTGGAACAAGGATCTTATCAGCTAATATCCAACAGGGAAAGTCACGAATACACACAAAGTTTCATCATGCAAATTCTTACATAGAAAGGCAAGGGAAAGGTCAAATAATATTTCTAGGTGTTATGGCTGTCTTTTACTGACCTTGAGCAAGAGAAATTTTTACCATCCAAAGGTCATTTCACAATGCCTGGTAACATTTTTTGGAAAAAAATCCTGTGTGTGTGTGTGTGTGTGTGTGTGTTTGGAGGATTATTGGCAACTAATAGTCAAGGCTGAGGAATAAAGTACCCTACTCACTGCACAAGGTAAGACCAAAACACTTATTAAATATTAATAGTGCCAAAATAAGACACCCTGGTTTAACCAATAAATATGCTGACCATGGAGGGCCTCGTTCTAATGTGGAATTAGTATTATTTACTTTCCACAACAGAATGAGATTGATCTTTTATTTCATTATTTTGTTTTTTGTAGTCCTGAGATTGAACTCAGAGTCTTATGTATGGTAGGCCTGAGCTCTGAAAGTACATCACAGAACCAGTACACTTTTGTGAGCTTCATTCCATTGATATACAAAAGAGTATGCAGGTAAACCAAATAAACATAAGGCAGACAGTTATATCTCTTGTTTGTAGTTTCATATCCAGAAAGGGGTTAAAGATTGGATTTTAAAATCAAGCTGACTTAAAAGCCTGATCTTATTCTTTCAAACTCTTTGTTCTAACTTCTCTTTGTAGAAAG